TTTCACTCTACCTCATACATCAAGAAATCTCCCTTCCACAATTGTGTCATATTCAGATTTTTACCTATTTGAGCTCAATGTTTCGAGTTTTTGCAATAGACCTTCCCATTTCATCTGTCTCCACGACTAGACCTAAGACCTATGCCGCATTGATAGGTTGCTAATAAGCACGAATCAGCACTGGGGTTGCGGCTTAGTAATGGTTACAAGATACGGAAATCCGTATTAGACTGTTTTTAGCCCATTTAGATTATGAAACAATCTGCTTGAAGGTGCCTGCTCCTATTATTTTTAGATTCAAAATAAGTAGATTGGACATGATTTATCTCTATGCTTCGTTTGTCCGTTAGAGCGCGTTAAAGTTTTCTTTTTAAATAACTTTTTTTCTAGAATCGATAGTCCTATTTGAATAAGATTTGGAACATATTTGTTTTGCTAGACGTCCTAATATTTGAGCCGAAAAGGGTTGGAGGGGGTGCACCCAACGATTTAAAAGCTCCTTTATTTACTTTATTTTTTGTATTTTATAAAAATCTTCATCTTGCATAGTTTTCGAGAAAAACATGTTTTAATGTAGTAGGCATCTATTTGTCAAAAATATGGGATGTTATGTCAGCGTTATATTATTATTGACAATAAGCTTCAGAAAGTTTAAATTAATAACTATAATGTTTGAGCTTATTCTTGAGTGTTATTGTTTGTTCTTCATAAATTTTAAATTAATTAAAGTTTGAGATTATTTTTGGTTAAGTTGTTGTTGTTGCTTGTTTTTCTCCTGAATATGGAACATTCTTTCGGCAGTCTGATATTCTGTTAGTACTTGGTTTGTGCGAAGGTAATTCCAGAAAAATTGTTCGCGTGTATCAAGAGAGATGCCCGATTCGACGAATTCCAAATCGTCAAACTTTGGCAAGTATAGAACGCCGACTTCGAGGAATTGGTCGACCCCAACCTCTACAAGTCAACACTGGAAAACCAAATACTTTGTCTGCAATTACTTTCGCAGAAACCGAGTACTAACAATACATCAGTCTGTTCGTCAAAAGAGTATTCCATATTCACGTGAAAATGATCAACAACAACAACTTAACAAAAAGTAATCTCAAACTTTTAAAATTTATGAAGAACAAATAATAAATTAACAATCGAAAAAAAATCTAACATTACTTATTAATTTAAACTTTATGAAGCTTGTTGTCTCCGCCACCGACATAACATCCCCTATTTCCGTCAACTAGATAGGTACCTACTAGATTTTATCACTCAATGTAATGAGAATTTTTTTTTGAAACCAGATCTGAAGAACTTTTTTTCTTGCGAGATCACCCATTTATATGAGTCAAGAAATGAAGTAAATAAAAGGTTCTTTTAAAAGGTTACGAAAAAAAATTGCTATAATTTATGTTGGGGTGGGGTTTTACCCTTTTTGTACTCTTTTGGTTTTTGTGCAAGTCAAATATTAGGACGTCTAGCAAGACACATGTGTTCCAAATAATAATAATAATAATAATAATAATAATAATAATAATAATAATAATAATAATAATAATAATAATAATAATAATAATAATAATAATAATAATAATAATAATAATAATAATAATAATAATAATAATAATCCGGATTTATTTATACAAAGTATAAAAAGGCGAAGTGTCGCTAAAAAGCGTTTTTCAACTTAACCCAAATTTCATTCAAATCGGACTATCAGCTCCAAAAATATCTCAAAAAGGTGTGTTAAAGAAAGAAAACTTGGACGCTCTCTAACGGGCAAACAAAGCACCTTTGCATAGAGGTGAATTATGTTCAATGGACTTATTTTGAGTCTAAAAAATACGTGGTACTTCTATGTCCACGAAATATTGGGACACCCTGTATATCTTTAACTTCTTTATAGAAGGTGGGTAACCTCGGTATTTGTCATGGTCTCCCCAAGGCAGCTTCAGTGTGGAACAGAATAATCATCATAAGCAATAATATAATATCTAGCATTTAATTAATTTAGATAACAATGCTATCTACTCATGCACATTTTATTCAGCTAATTTACTAGGTAGATGTTCGATCCTTCAGGATAAGGTCAACGCTCACGTTATAAAAAGAGACAAAATATGACATGTCACGAGGGCGTTCACATTAATTTGCTTTACTAAGTGAGACCTTATGTCGGTATTAACAATTTCTGGGTGCTATAGCAACTAATAGCTTTTTTTAAAGCTGCCGGTAACGCGTCAATTCCTCTTGGTAACGAATATGGTGTACCTACATGCGCTTACAGCTTAGCAGGTTTTTTTTCTGAAAAGGGTGGACATAACTGACTGAACTTTCCGACAGAAACTGTACTGTTTTGAGGAAATTCATCTTACGATACTTTTGAAATAGTAAAGTATCTTCTATGTTTACACTGAGAAAATGTGGTCAATTAAACAATTGTTCTGGAAAATTTTCATTACCCGTAATATTTTTTTTATCACTAAAATAACTAAATTATGTGGTTTAATTGATCTGAATTTTCTGGAACCAATTGAATTGAAAGCAATATACTATTAAACAAATTTTCTTGAAGAAAGCAAACTATGTACCTGTTTTACCCAATTTTTAATTGGTTATGTAACTTAAATTATGTATAAAAGTACATTTAGAACAATTAAACACATTAATAAAAACAGTTAAACTGTTTATTTGAATCGGGGACTCGACAGGACTCCGCCCTTATTCGTGAATGATATTGAGTATGCGAGAGATGCAGTACCGGTGTTGCGCTTCAATCTACTCAGTTTCATTAGTGATTTTCGCCAGAAGCTTCCCATTCGAATGTTGCCGTATTGGTGTTTTAGCTGTGGGGTGGATTAATTACTGTGACCAAGTGAAATACTGGAGCATAAGTCGGTTTAGTGCCCCTTACCATGGTTAGAATATTTCTCGCTCCAAATGAAACACTACTGACGTGAAGAATAAGGAGAACTTTGAAATTTTATTTATGCAGCTATATTTACGTCACTGGTGGGCATTTAAAAACAAGCATGTGCTTAACATCGATGCGCTTTTTCATATTGTATAATGTATATTTTACATAGGAAGCGGAGCTTCCCGTTGGTCTAGACTTTGTAGTAACATATTTGAAAATATCCTAATTTGTTCAAAGTGCTGTCGAATTTATTTATACATATAAATGCTTTGAATGTGGGTGAGTGCAATATTCTTTTATTATTAGATATAAAAGTACAATTTTTGTACACATGGTCTTTCTGGAATTTAAAATAAAGATTTGCCTGTAATGAATGGTGATATATTTATATAGGGTCTTCATTTGAAAACTTCCCACCACGGATTTATCGAAAACCACTGAAAAAACGCCGAGACATGTCAAAAGATTTGTCAAGGGGGAAAACTTTTTAATCAAAAACTACTTCACCCCCTTTTCACCCTCAGCCCTCCAGGGTCATTCCCTTAAAAATTTTAAATGACAAGGGGTATCGAATAATAACTTGTTTGAAAGGCATTTTGAAGTCCTTTATTTTGACGTTTAAGTTTTTTTAAATCGGTCTTTACCGGGATGTTAAGCTCCTCAAAATCAATCAAACCTGAACAAAAACCTAATCGGGTCCTGTACCTCAATCAGATCAAACGTGAAGACGTACGACTCAATCTAGCCGCTGGCCGCATTTGTAAACAAAACCTTCACACATCGGTTCTAAAAATGGCAAACCCTTATAACAATATCGAAGTTATCCATATTATCTTAATTTACGGTGAGTGCCTTAAAAATGCTACCGAGGCTTCGCGAGTGGATGCAGATCGTGTTACAAGGTCGTTCGTGATTTCTTCGTTTGCTTAGAGCGAAATGAAATGTTTAGTGTATACAACTGATGAGAACACGGTTGACGAACCACGTCAGTTGAGCACATACATGTGCCTATGAATTTATCGCAATAGAAGGGGCAAAAGACCGGTCCGAAAAAAAAGTTTTAAATCCTATATAAATAAGTTTTCCCTCAGAGGTATTGAAAAATAGTTTTGTAGCTTGTTTTCAGTCGATGAATAAACTGGAGAGTATATTGTTCTGCGTCTTGTATCTTTGGTGGTCGATTTATGAGGGTTTTATTTACGCTACATGAGAATCGATAACTGCAAATATTTACAGAAGCATAAACAATTTATTCTTTATAGTCACACAATTTTGCGAAATGATGGAATTTCAACTTTTTTCGATAATTGTATGAGAACTGAATAGGAACAATTGGAACCAAAATTGATTACATATGGCTCAGATACATTTTAGTTACACAGAAATTCTAAGCTTTATTAGAGATATATGCAACTACAGAAGACCTATATGCCTGGTTTCAGAATTTTGTTTCTACTATGGCCCTAAATAAGCAGAAAGTAGAAAAACGATAAATTATAAATTTTCGCATTTTTAAACTTTTGTACTACGTCAAAAAAAAAATAGCAACTCTGAAAAAACTCAAAAAATTAAATTTGTTAAAGTCCTCAAAAATTTTATTTTTCACTTGCTACTACACCACCATTGGCGAAAATATTTAAGGAGTGCTGTCATACTAATTCCTTTGTGACAAAATTGTAGTAGAATCCGAGCTATAGGAATAGAGGACCTCGTAGCTTATTCGCCGATGTTGTTCGGATTTAAAACAATCATCCACATATTTCATAATGTTTTCAAGCACTTGAACGATGAAAAATGTACAGGTCAAGGCAGCTAGCAGCGTTCAAAACACAGAGACTCTGTACCGCTGTGTCTCTGGCCATATACTGTTCCAACTACAATAGGTGTATTATCACAACTGGTCGGTACGACTACCCCTTCGTTCCTAGGGTGTCGAGATTGTGGAACAGATTTCTTTTTGAACGCCAGAATACAGAATATGGTTGGATGAATTCAGGTAGAAGACGTTACTGAATAGTTAAACTCAAGGCTCGTGCGAAGAAAATAAAAAAGATGATCTTGCGTCTCACAGTACATTCAACACTTCGGAAGACTGCGCAGTTTACCGACGTCCGTTCATCCACAAGAGCGCTCCTTGGTGTTTACACCCGTCAACTCCGTCAGTTGGAAGTTTCCCGCCTAAATAAGTGTGTGCGTGTGCTATCAAAAACTCTAAACTGCCTATCGTCAAAATGGAGTCGTGCGGAATGAGTTTCATTAAATATCTTTTGTTTATATTCAATCTGTTTTTTGCTGTAAGTATCGTTTGGAGTTTGTACTTGAATTATTGAATTCTTGAAGTCGAAAGTTATGACTCATTGTCATTCCTGCGCCATATAGAGTGTGGGAATTTTTATTGGCATCAAATCACTTTCATTTCGACAAAAAAAAGTGTATGTATATAATGTTGTTTAAATCCATAACAGGTCCAAGTCCGTTTTTCACGATTTAAGTTTATTTATAGTGACATTTGAAACTTATCCTGTGGTTTTCAAGCTGATAATGCCCCTCGTTTGTCTCCAAATCAAACCACATATATGTTTAAGCTTTCTCTTTATTATACAACGTTCTGGTCCTGACGGTGACCTTTTTCAAAAACACTTGATACTTTTGACAATACATTTTGTTTATCTGTATTCCAGGTGAAACTTCGTTTGTTTTTCTTCCATGTACACATTCATAGAACTACCTGGTGTATGTGTTCCCGGTCTCAAAAGTACGTTCAGCCGTCCAAAGCGACAAGCGAGCACGAGGTTATCTGTCGTTTTTTAATGAACCGAAAACGCCAAAAGCCCATCAAAATACGCGAAAAACCCAACCAGTGTGCATTGTTTATGGAACTGAAATACAAGAAATTGTACTTCGACATCTAAAAGGAACCATGTTGTTTGTCTGGTGACGAAATAATATAACGCATCAGTTTGTCCTTGAGATGGCGAATTAAGATACAAACCAACAATTTATGTTTTATAAATGCCTAACATGGTTTACAGAACTATTTTTATAGAATAACAATGTCGTTATGAATGTTTATACAACGCTCATAAACCCAAAAAGGGCGCACTCTTGTGTGTGTGTGTGTGTGTGTTGTTTGCTTTTTTTTATTATAGCTCACACAGCTTTTACCGTATAATTTTAAACTTTTTCAAAATAATTATAAAACATAGTATGTATACAACAATTATAAAACAGTTTTATCGCAAACAGTTATAGGGCTAGAGTAAAACAGTTTTATAAAAGTTGTATTGTATTGATGCAATACTTTTGTTGCTTATGTATCTAGTTAAAGTGCGCCTGCTGAAACTAATTTGTTTTTTAATGATCCTTGATAAAATAAAAACGTAAATATTAGATCTTTATAGTAAATAAAATATGTTTGAGTAATTAAATCAGCAATGTTGCATTTATTTAATACATTTTATAATTGCAATAAGCGATATCAGAAAAGAAAATATTTTTAATTTTTTTTAAAAAAAGTTTCATATAGCGCTAATAAAACAATTTTATTAATAATAATAATAATAATAATAATAAAATGTCTTTATTAGGCACATTATATACACTACCACATAATGTGACCTCTACGTAGGCGAAGTCTAGCTCTTGGCTACTCTACTTAACCTACCCAAATACTCAATTGAAACACTCAATCAAAAGAAACTTTGATAAGCAAAAGACGCTTCAAAACAACGAGCTTGATAGCTTCCTAGCATACATATATACACACATATATTACGTAAACTAAAATTAAATGTAAGAATTAAAAACTAACTTTTCCAAAATTACTATAATGACAAATAAATCTGTTTCACATGCTTACGAAATCTGTTTACTGGCCAATCCTTTATATTGTCATCTAATTCGTTATAAATCAGGATAGCATTGTAAGTGTATGAACTACGAAATAAAGTTGTTTTATACATAGGGATCTCTAGTCTTTTTTTGTGTCTGAAATCAATGTCTGAATTATTTCGTCTGAAAACAAATTTCTCATAAAGATACAAGGGGGATCTAGAAGATATGATCTTATGTGTAAACACTGCTAGATGGTACTTGCAAGCATTTTCTATACACATCCAACCAAGCTGAAATCTCTTTAAGGAAACATGATCATACTTCTTGAGATTAAATACAAATCGACAACAAGTATTTTGGAGTTTTTGGAGTCTTGCTTTTGTGATAGAATCAAGACAATGATAGAACACAGTGCTACAGTAAAATAAGCTTGGAAATATAATAGCCTCACATAACTTTTTTCTAACTTTAAAATTCAAAATAGAGCGATTGACATAAAAACACTTCAACGTTGCATAACATTTTTCAAGATAGACGAGACATGCTCCTTAAACCGTAAAGTATAATCAATAATCAACCCTAAATTTTTTGTAGTATTTACGACAGCTAGACGCTCCTTGTCGATTTTTACATCAAGAGAATTCAATACAGTGTTACGTTTGACAGCAGGACAAAAAAGCATCACTGAGCACTTATCCTTATTGAGCTTAAGATTATTACCATTTGAGTATCCTACTATTGCCTCCAAATCATCATTAAGCTCATTGATTGAAGTATGCAAAGTGTTACTATTAAAGCTTTTATATATCTGTGTATCATCGGCATAGCACATCACAGAAGAGTTTTTCACAGAGCTACCCAAGTCTATAGTATAAATTAAGTACAACAAGGGCCCTAAAACTGAACCCTGAGGGACACTTGATGTTATATCAATCGGACTAGATATAGTGTTGTCTATCTCTACTACTTGTTTACGATTTGAAAGATATGTTATAAAAAACATTAGAGGTATGTCTGAAAAACCAAAAAACTCCAATTTAGCACATAAAAGCTCATGATCTATTTTATCGAACGCCTTAGAATAATCTAATGATACAAGTGCTGAAGCATCTCCCTTATCAAGCGAAGCAATGATGTCATCTAAAACCCTTGCTAAAGCTGTAGTTGTACTAAAACCACTGCGGAAACCAGATTGACACTTGGGAAAGAAATCATTATTAGAGAAATAATGATAAACCTGATGTTTAATCAATTTCTCCAATATCTTCGATATAACAGGAATCAAAGTTATAGGTCTTAAGTCTGAGAGACATTTTGGATTTTTACATTTAGGCAAGGGCTTGACAAGAGATAGTTTCCAAGCATCAGGGAAATACCCAGCCTCCAGGCAACAGTTCAATAAATGCGTCAGGGGTAGTAATACTCGAGGCAAGCAAAGCTTCAGCATTGAGACTGTTATACCATCCGAACCTGCTGCATTAGATTTTAGGGACAGAATAATGTCTAGCACATTTTGTGGGGTAGCAAAACTAAATTCAAATCTAGCACTTTCATTAATTTTGGTACTATTAAATTTATCAACTAGATCCTTGCAATTGCCCGAAGGCGTGAAAACGGAAGAAAAATAATTGTTTACTTCATCGGCATTCTTCAACTGTGTAGGTAAAGATCTATCTACATTAGTTTTGAGTTTCAATGAATGTACAGCTTTCCAGAGATGCTTGTTACTATTTAGTTGTTCATTGAAGCTTAGATATGCTGCTTTCTCCCGCCTAATAGCGGAAATGACATCATTTCTTAATTTCTGGTAATATTCGAGACTAGCTGGACTTTTTAAAATCTGATATTTTCTAAAGGCTTTATTTCTCTCGGAGATCAAAAATTTTATGCCACCTGTGAGCCATGGAGCATAAGGTTTAGTAATACGTGATGAAATAACAGGAGCATGGACATCAAACAAATCCAAAATATGATTAGAAAAAAACGTAGCTTTATCCTCTAAGTTAGTGATGTAATATATATCGTCCCATGGGATTTTATCCAAATCCACCAAAAACTGATCTTTACAACAGTGTTTAAAATCTCTATATTTGACAGTCTTTTGAAAATTCTTAGGCCGTGTGATGTTGAAGTCACATCTGACTACATTATGATCTGACAAATTCGGAACAGGTACAGAGCTAGTTGAAATTAATGATTCAGCTAAGTTATTTGTTGTACAAATGACATCTATGGAGGTTGCCGTGGTTAAAGTTATCCTAGTTGGTTGGGTGATGTGAGATACCATATCGTAGCACGCAATGCAATCTAGAAAAGAATGGTCAGTAATTTGATCAACGTTTATATCACCCAGCAAGCATATATTATCATACTGAGGAGACACAAATGAGAGAAAGTTGTCTATATGATCAATAAAACTTGATAATCTGCTCGAAGGAGCTCTGTAGATAACACAAACCAAAATTTTTAGATTATTCAACACTATTTCAGCACAAACCTGCTCCATACCATCTGGACATAAAAAATCTTGCAATACCAGCTTACCTCTCAGTGAATCCCTTAAATAAACACCAACTCCTCCTCCACGTCCTACTCGATCAGTATGGAAAAAAGTGTACTCAGGAATATTTACTATATTTGCTGTAAAATCATTATTAATCCATGTTTCGGAGATACCCATAATATCATAGTTATCAGTAGTCAACAAATCTACAAAGGAATCAAAGCCAGCAAACAGAGATCTTACATTCAGGTGTCCAACAACAAAATGGTTATAAGTTTTTGTGCAATTATTCATAAGCAATCTGCATTTTCAAATGATCGATCTTCATTTTGTAATAACTGCAAGAGGTATCACTTGCAACATGCTTTGTACACCAGTTAGTTTTATATCTATCATTATGAAACTTACAGTTAGGACAACAAGAATCATCAGCTTTACAATCTCTAAATTCATGAAAACCTGAGCACTTAGAACAGACAACATCCTTGCTTCGGCAATCTTTCTTACCATGACCAAATTTACAACATTTGTAACAACGTAGCAAGTATAAATTTTCCCTGACAGTACATCTCACCCAGTATAAATCTATTACAAAACAAATTTGATCAGTAAGCTCAAATGTCGTATAAAATTGTTATGTAAGACATTTATAAAACAATGCTAAAATTTGTCGTAACTGCTTTGTATTTTTGCTCTAAAAGCAGGGACAGTTAAACATTATAAAATATATTTAGTAGTCATTGATATTGGCAACGACAAGTTAGGCAATGGCAATGATATATATATATATATATATATATATTTTTTACCTTTTGTTGGGTACTTCGACAAAATTTATTATTTATTATTTATTAATTTTGTCGAAGTACCCAACAAAAGGCGGAAGCTTTAATTTTTCACCTAACTGGTCTAGACGACAATGACCACGTCTCAAGTTATATATATATATATATATGG